ATTTTTATCAATAATTGATTATGGTGATCATTTATATATGCATGCAGCTTCTTTACTTAGAAAATTAGATTCTGTTTGTCATGCAGCATTACGTTTTGTCACTGGTGCAGAGTCACGGACGAATCATTGCATTTTGTATGAATCTTTAGATTGGTTATCTTTACATCAAAGGAGATAGTTACATATGTACTTATTTATCGTAAAGGCTCTATTAGGTAAATTACCATCTTATATTTCTAATTTGTTAACGATCCATATAAATAGTCGCTGTACTAGATCAGGTTCTTGTATTCGGTTAATAGTTCCAAGGGTATTGTCAAAATTTGGTAAATGTGCTTTCTCCGTTTATGCTCCTTGGGCCTGGAATGAATTGCAAAATGTAATTAATCTTGACACACTTCCAACATTGAGTACTTTTAAATGTCTTTTGTATAATGTTTTAAAGGATACTTGTAATTGTTTTTCGTGATCTGATTTTATTTGTGAATTGTGATTGTGTAACTTGTGGTACTGTCTCTGTGATTCTTTTTGTATGAAACTTTATGTGCTGCCGTCTTGACCAGGTCTCACTGGAAGAAGAGATAGCAATATCTCAATGTGATTTCCTGGTTAAATAAAGGAATAATAATAAAATTACTGTCCGAATCGGGCTATAGAAAAGCATAATTCAGAGTCCGAGGACATGAACAAGCTCCGAGTAGAACGTCACATGCTGTCATCTCGAAATTATGGTAATTATAATAAGGCGTGAACACAGCATTTGTATCGATTTAGAGTGGGCGGGATTATTCACATGTCTTTATAGTTGCGCCAAGCACCTTTTGTTGTTTTCTCGTGGTATCTGATAGAGCGGTTGGACACGGAAGCGATGACACGTGACGTCAGACTTAACAAGCGGATAGGGGGCGGAACGCTCAATATAGATTCTCAGAGCTCTGACTGGGCAGAGCAGAGATAGCTCTCTGTCCTCTTCAGAGGGAGGAAGCGCGGAGAGCGTAATGGCCTGTGCTCTGAACGGAGTGGAGAGCACCTAAGGTACGTAACCGTGCCTTGGTTTCAGGACGACTTTAGTGTCATTAGGCCTGAATTCCAGGCAGGCAGGGCTAATAGAGAGCGCCTTGCAGGTCCCCTATTCGCTTTACTGATGCCAGTGCTAGAAGCAGAGCAGTCTTCAGCGATAGCGACCGAATGTTGGCAGACTGTAGCGGCTCGAAAGCAGGGCCCTTCAGGGCCCTCAGCACAGTGGGCAGATCCCATGAAGGGACGGTAGGGGGATGAGGCACCCTGCCTCCTGGCACCCCTTAGGAAGCGGATGACTGTGCTGTTTCTGCCCACCGATTGGCCCTCAATAGGGGCATGAGAGGCCGCTATAGTTGCCACATGGATGGGGAGCGTCCCTTATCCAGTAGCTCTTGCAGAAATGATAATACCTCTGTCAAATCAGAAGTATGAGGGTCTTTGCCACAGTTTAGACACCAAGCGGAGAAAAAAGACCACTTTAAGGCGTAGAGGCGTCTCGTAGATGGGGCTTTAGCCTCCGAAATTGTGTTTAAGTCAGATCCTCTGAACCGTCTGTGGATGGAGCGTCCACTCCCCTTAGGGGACATTGCTCCTTGATAGCATGTCCGCTCCTTGGTTCAATTTGCCCGGTATATGCGCTACTCTCAGCGAGCGCAGGTTGAGTTGAGCCCATTCCAGGAAGGGCTCTACCAGAGTGAAGAGACGCTTCGAGGAGAGGCCTCCCTGGTGATTTATGTAGGACACCACATACATGTTGTCCGATCGGATTAGCACATGGTGTCCTTTTAGGAGTGGCAGGAAGAACTGACAGGCTCGACATACTGCTAGCATTTCCAGGCAGTTGATGTGGAAGCCTT